TTCTATTTCTTTTTTTTTTTCTTTTTTCCCCATATAACTCGATTACTACCTTCCTCTCGTTCCCTCGATCCCTTTTCTTCTTTCATTCTTATCCTTCCTAAATATGTGTTCTTCTTTAAATTCCTCGTTCTCTTTTTCTTTTTTCGTTTTATTTCGCCCATCCTTTCAATCAAAAAAGTGTAAGTTTTCCTATTATTGAACTACGGATCCCGCTTGCCCAGCACACATAACTAGCCAACTGTCTCGTTAAGCCTATGGCTATTACAGCTGGCTTGTACCAATGCTCTGCACTTTTGTTGTGTAGTATATGTAATTTTGCAATTTCGGTACTAAATAAAGATTGATTGATTGATTGATAGCCAACAAAGCAACATTTTTTCCCCCTCAAAATACTCATCATGCACTACTTGAATAGTAAACCACAACGAAATCTTAAAAAAATAGCGTGCCCATGTATTAAGGAACCACAATTTTCTCTTTATCATCTTCTTCAATAATATTCCTTAGCAATATCTTCATTGCTTCAAAGCTTCACTTTATAGCACTAAAATCTTCTTTAAAATMTTAAATAATCTTGAATATTTTCATTATTTTATTACAGTACGTAATTTATTGTCATAAGTACAGAAAACAAAATGAATCTTAACAAATAAAAAAAAGATAAAATATAATAAAAATATTTCATACTCTTACTGAAACGTACGTAATTTTTGAACTTGCCAAATAAGGACGCATGGCATTTGACCGCAAGCTGTTTCAAAGATTCTCACTGATAAGACATTTACTATATATGCGAGTTCTCATCCAACGCTGTCTTCACTGAAATCATTTAATTACGATTTCAAGTATATTTTGAACTCAACTTAAATTAGAATGGCGTTTATCAAATTCTCCAGGGAGATCTGATTGTTTTAACTATAGTTATAGCTTCGAGAACATGCGAAGTTTTTAAAAAAAATTGTATTGTAAAACGTAAAGAAGCTACGATATACGTCGAGGGTCAAATAAAAGAGTTCTCAAACGTTTTGTCACAGTAAAAATTAATAAATAATAACATATAGTTAAGCGTTTTTCTATGCTTTAATTTACTGTGCTAGAAAAGACTTCAGTGATAGTGCATGTCTTCAGAAATTCCAATTCAGATAACAGATTATAGTCCACCATCAGTATAAAAATATAGCCGCGCGATTTTCAATTTCTGAGCTCTACTATTTCTTACAAGATAAATACGCAAATAATACGAGCGAATTGTCCGATTATTATTAAGAAGCTGGTTAGTGCCAAAATCTTCACACAATTAGAATATTGTTGGTGATATCATAGCGCCTTCAGCATTAGTCCGAGAAAAAAACGTATATTTATACTCAAAATATATTATAGTATTTCTCGTTAGAAATTCAACTCAAAATATATGTTTTACGGTCTAGCTTACCACTTTTCATATTCTCGTATGTGCTGTCTGTAGCTGCATTACTGACGATCGGCTCAAATGTTATTCCAGGTACGATATTTTTATCATTGATGTACTTGATTGCGAACCTGAAAGCGCTTTCTTCAACGCTGTTATTACCAGCAGAAAATATCCCTCCTATAATGATAAATATCAAGAACATAGCAAAAAATATTAGTCTATGGCGAAAATTCAAACTCAAATTGAAGACGAATATATTTACTAAAAGCTGTGATTACCTATTTTGAGAACAATTCGCGCTTGGCTGAGACCAGCAGGTAAATTGAAGAAGAGTCCAATAATAAAAAGTTTGAATAACATGTTGATGTGTAGATGTGTTATATATATAAATATATATTTATATATCCCAATTTGAGCTTGTGAAATTCTGCACACTGACCACGGCGCTCGGCAAGCAGGGCAACGATGTTACTGAAGTTATGCAAATCAGATGAAGTTAAACTTCAATTAAATCTACATTTTCTTATCAGTAAATGCTTCGCGTCATTACTGTAATGGGCTAAGTTTTTTTTTATTTAAAAAAAAAAAAAAAATTAATTCTGAAGGTTAGGATTATACTCCAAAGCCTAGGTATATTACCTGTATTTCTACAAAAAGAGTCGTATTGGCTATAATAGGTAAAACATGTTGGTTTAGCCTAGCTTTGGCTTCTAAAAGACTCTAGTTATACTTTACCACAATGACTCGAGCTGCAATTTATATACTATGCAAAGTAAAGAAAAGTATTCTGTATTTCTACGAATAGAGATGTATTGGTTACAATAGGTAAAACATGTTGGTTTAGCCTGGTTTTGGCTTCTAAAAGACTCTAGTTATAATTTACCACAATGACTCGAGCTGCAATTTATATACTATGCAAAGTAAAAAAAGT